CATTTTTTATTTCCTAAAGGCCGTTTGACATGCGTTTTGATATTATTTTTCGGATATTGATACTCAAATTTGAGTCCATATCATGTTTGGAACCGTTAATATTGGTTTGAAATAATTTATAACATATCAGATTTTTTTCAGATTTTTTTACGTGAATTCATATCACAAAATTTATAATATTATATGTTTTGGTATTATGGTAGAGAAATTAAAATAAAGTTTAAAATTTTTCAAAATAAATTTTCATTACCAAATTATTATTTTAATATTTACCTAAAGCACTCCTATAACAAAACAATTATTTCAAACCGTCTTAATTTTTCGATTATTTGAATCCAAACCATTTACGGAACATCGTGTATTGAAAAAGTTAAGATATTGTAGTTTATTATTTTCTTTTTACATGTCTCAAATTCTTTGAAAAGTTAAAGTAAATAAGTTCTATATTTCTATCATTATTCTTTATTTTTTTAAAAAAATTTAAACTTTGTAACTATTTATATTTAAATTAAAAGGGACAAGTTAATAATTTTTTTTTAAAAATAACACATTAAATGTATATCCTTTTAAAAATTTTAATTTTTAATTATGAACCTATAATGCTGGACGGAGGGAGTATTTCAATTATAAAAAAAAATCAGCGTAGAAATGATGACAGTCCAATTTCATTGACGGACACCCACTAACCCTGAGGGAATGGGTAGAGTACAAATCAGGGTCAGGTTAGGACATGAACTGACCAGTAGAGGGTACACCAAGCTGTCAAAATAGCAATCGTAAATGACTAAAGAGACAGTACAAATGTTGTACACGTGTTACAACAGTAAAAAGGAGTTTTGTCATCTAACGGGGATTTTTATTTTACGTCACCATCACAGACGTTTCCTCCTCCGTCATCCTTTCATTCCAATTTCGCCACGAAAGCGCGTGAAGGTGACGCCTTCTATTTATTTACGTAATACACTACTACTCAATTTAATTTTTCCAGTAAAGAAATCGTAGAATATTTTATTACTACCTATTTATTTTTTATTTTAATAGTCAAGTCATACATGAACACATGATATAAATGGTGGGCCACAATGTAGGTGAGAGTGTGTCCCACTAAATATATAGGTGCGGGAGTCGGCTAAACCAACTTGATAAGATTTATTTATTTAATATTTTTGTCAAATTTTATTTCTTGAAGAGAATGTGGTGTGCAGTTAAAAGTAATATAATCATAAACATATGTGTTTATGAGAAAAATAAAATATAGTACATGTTAATATTTACTGAATATAGAGATTGACATACATTTTCTTAATTATTTAGTACATGAAATCAAAGTTAGAAAAAATGATTTTCATGAAAAAGCGTATTAGGTTTGGAAAAATGTCTTTGAATAGAGGCCCTTTTATTAGTTAGTTTATTCTAACCTAAGTTATAAAATTGAAGGCTGCATTATAAGAGTATGAAATAATCTTATTAGATTTAGTCTTCCTCTTTTAGGTAATTATAAGCATAACATAAATTTTAGGAGTAATATGAAGTAAATTTAAAGCATATTAACTTTATGTTATTACTTGTGTAATAGTGAAATAGCCGCTCCAACTTTCTCTCCCACCTCTCTCTAACTTTCTCTCTCTAACAGGCAGCTTTGTCTTCTTCACTTTGCCTCCCTGCTCCTTTCCATGGGAGTGGAGAGATGAAGATCTCCTCCCACGACTCCAATAAATTTGGATGGTTTCAGTAAGTGTGTTCCCTTGGTTTTTTTTTTACGCCGTTTTTTTGTTTTCTTCTGCTAGATCTATTCATATTCGATTCGTTTTCAGATCACATGGGCGGATCTGTTGTTTTCTCCGAATAGATTTCTGGTGTAGGTCGGTTTTGGTTTTTCCCGCATCGATTTAATCTTTTTTTCTTTGATTTGATCTTGTGCGGGATTTCTTGGATGTTGGAGCGCGTTGTGGTTGTAACTTTGGAGCGGTTGCCATGATGATGGCCAGATCTTTCAGTCTCTCCTGTTTGTTACGTTCTCTTATGGTAGTTCCGTTTGTAAAGTGTTGGACTTTGTTTCCTTCACAAATCTGAAATATGTTCTTCATTTATTTGTTTTGTTTCGAGATTTGTTTTCCTTGTCTGACTTGATTATATATCTCTGTACCGCCTTCTTACTTTAGGCCTTAGTGTTTTTGAATGACAAATATATATATATATATATATATATATATATATATATTAACTTTGGTCATCGGAAAAACAGAATTTAGTGTGAAGTGCTTAGATATGATTATCGTCAGCAATCCAGTCAATGGATCAAATTCATTTTTGTAATTGGGTGATGGATTTAGGTTGATTCCATTTGATAGGTAATATGACGCATTGCAAACAATATATATATATATATATATATATATATATATAATATAAAAGAATAATTATATGCATCATATTTAATTGCAATGAACAAAAGAAATTTATATTTATGTAGTTATTATAATGAGTGCCATTACTTCTCATCAATTTGAAATAAGATTATATCTCACTATTAACAGATTCAGAATTTCTTTTGTGAAGAAAATAAAATCAATACAAAACACAATATTATTTCAGAGTAATAAGGATCATTTGGGTGATGTAAATGCGCAGAAATTCTCTCCATCACACCTCTCCATGAAAGATCCAATGGTTGCGATGAAGTCATATCACCCAAAGTTGTCTTGTCATTGTCCAGTAAGTGGCAAGTCACCATCTGAATTAAAAAAGTTACTGAACTCAATTTTGTGTTACCATATACAAATACCATATGATACCGTATACAAAAATTATAAACAACATTAATTTATTCAGTTATACGTGGGACCCAAATAAACTTTTTACTTCTTCTCTTCGTCTTCTTCTTCTCCCAGCTTCTGTATTGTTCTTCTTTCTTCATCCTTCTCTGGTTTCTCCTCTGACCCACGTCATAAATCAGATGCAATTGTCGAAAGGGCAAAACTTCTTGATTCTCTGCTTAATACATTTTAGTAACTATTATTATCATTATTTTAATTATGGACATAAATTTTGAAATTCATAGGACATAGACGCTGAAATTCTTGAAGATCCAATCTCCCTAAAATGTATATGTAATTATGCAAAGATAAATCGTAGCAAGATTAGGGTTTTTTTTTTTTTTTTCTTTTTTCTTTTTTTAGCGACACCCATTTTGGTTGGAAACACAATTAGATCATCAAAACTTCATTTATGTCTTAATGGACTTGAAACTATAATTAAACCATAAATTAACGTTTATGGTTCTACAGAGTGGTGGTGGATCGACAGATTTTTTTCACCGGAGATGGTGGCGGCTGCAGCAGAGTTGGTCTCTTGAGATTGCGTTCTTTGTATAAATCAATACAGAGAGACTTAAGACTGGTGGTGGTGGTGGTGGCGGCGGCGGCGACGAATCAGAGGATTGACAAATCTGTTCTACAATAAATTAATGGAGGCCATGAGTTTGGAGAGAGAAGGGAGAAGTAAAACAAAACCCATTACAGATTCACAATAAAAAAAATAATAATAATTACAAATTCAACACCCACCACTATCAAAACCCAGATGAAGAAGCTCAATTCCACGTCCAAAATCTCAAATTCAACCAAACCCAGTTCGTTTCTCACAAAGAAATCCTCAGATCTGAACAAACCAACCACCCCCAAGAATAAGACAACCAACCAATTACCACAAAACAGAGCCTTGAATTTCAGAGGGAGAGAGACCTAAACGAAGCTTGGTCTTTGGCCGGATTCTTGATCAGTGGCCAGATTCAGAGGGAACGGATTCTTGATCAGTGGCCGGATTCTCCATGACTTGAATTTCAAAGGGAGAGAGACCTGAATTTCAGATGCAAATATTAAAATTAAAGTTTTGGGGGGAATTTTAATTTCATTTTGTATACACAAAGTGATTAGTAAAAATTTTTGTACAAATACATAGCTAGGTATGTATGTATATACAATTCAGAAGTAAATACTATTTTTTACTGAAGCAGCTATGTCACCCTTTTACCCCTCCATGGGCACCCTCCAGTGAGAGGTGCCTTGAAGAGGGTTTTTCTCCCATGTAAACACCCAAGCTCATGGTAATAAGTTAAATATTGTTAGATTATGGGCTCCAATATTATTTCAGAGTAATGAGGAATAAATGTTTTATTAAAGATTTTTACTACGTAGTTACCAAAATGTCATTTGACAAGCCCGGTCCACATATCAGACAACGTGTCTCTTACACACACGAATATATATATACACACATAAGTGCGTGTGCGTGCGTGCAAACCCAACAACAGTAGCTTGTATTTGTCTATTAACAGTGTAACGTCCCGGAGTGCCGCGCACATCGGCCAAGTCATCATTCGTTTCATTTCGCATTTGAAATACAGTCTCATTCCTTACAAATTCCACTCCCTGCTCAATCTTCTCTCTCTGTATCTTATGAATATCATAACATATGGTACTACCATTATATATGTGTGTATATAATTATATGTGTATGTATTTTGTGGAGTCCACACCTCATATCCTTCTGATTCAATCGCTTTTTCAACCTTTATGACCTCACAATATAATAATATATGTAGTGATAGAAAGCTAAAGTATCGGAGATCGCATTAGAAACCGGTCAAAACAAAAACTAAATACTAGTGCTTCTATATATATATATATATATATTACTCCTTACATTAGGAGAAAACGCCGGCACTTTCGGAGGTCTGGCTTCTACCTCCGCCGCCGATCACCACCACCTCCTATGGAGGACCCTAATGAATCCACACTCTTGACCTCTTTCTAGCTCTCGGGTTTTCTCCAAATCTCAATCGCCCACCAATCACAATCCCAATCCGAATCCGAGTCCTCCATTTCTATCAATCTGATCAATTTTTGTTTTTATTTTTAGACTTTGTTGGTGCCCTTGATTGGGAGATTTGTGATTTGTTCAATCGATTGTATTCTAGAGAGAGAAAGGAGTGAGTTAAGATGACTCGGCAGATTGTACTCCGATCGCCGTCGCTGAACCGGCGCCATCCCCTACTGGCGAGCAAGTCCACGTCGTCGAATTGCTCCGGTGGCGGGAACGTGCGGTTCGCGGAGGTCGTTGGTGGGACGACGGCGGATTGTGCGGCCGTGTGCTGCTGCTGCCCGTGCGGGATCGTCAACCTCCTGGTGCTGGCCGTCTACAGGCTGCCGGCGGGGATTTACCGGAAGGCGCTGCGGAAGAGTCGCCGGCGCCGGCTAAAAAAGAAGGGTTTGCTCCCGCCGAAGACCTCCCATTGCAATTGCGAATTCGACGACGCGGAGTTTCAAATCCACCCCATCTCGGTCGACCTGTCGCAGGCGCTGACTGATATGCCGGAGAAGTCGCTGGAATCTGACAAAGATGTGCTTGAACTGGAGAAGGAAATGTGGGATAGGTTCTACAGTACTGGCTTCTGGAGAAGTCCTTCTCAGAGGGAGTAATAAGTTTAATGGTAAACAACCTTGAATCCAAATAAATAAATAAATTTAATTTCAATATGTATATTTTTATTGAATTTCCTGTGAGTATGGTGGTGATGGGATGTTTGTGTTTCCATGAGGATATTTTGGTCCATGCTCAACATTGGTTGCCCTTTAGGCTCATCTTTGTATGGGAAATAATGTGTGTATTGTAATGGATGGATTATATTCCTATACATATATATATCATTTTATATATTCTCGTGTGTGTGTTCATGGGCTTTGTTCTTTGTAGTGCTGAAAGTGAGTTGTGCTTGGTAAATGAAAAGAGGGAATGATCAATGGTTGGCCTTTGGGCTGATGTTTATGGGAATGTAGGTTTGTGTACATGGATGACTTGTGTTTCAATTAAAAGATGGACTTGTGGGAATGGAGGTGTGTACACTAAGATACATATTGATGGTATTAAACATTGTATGAGTAGAGACATGTATTGAAAGGGACTTCAATTGTTGTATGTGTGTGGATGTTATAATAACATTGTCCAAACATTGTTGACATTGTGTTTGTTGTGTTATTTATTTATTAGTTTGATAGGAATAGCATTGTTATTATGAAATTGGATGATTAATTTAGACTTGTGGTGTGCAATGCTAAGTTGTAAGTGGAAATGCGAAGAATATTCCAGAAGATACATCATTGTTTCAATTGATTTGATTTTGATGTTTGGGTCTGAAATTAAGTTGTTGTTAACCTCGTGTCATTTCAATATGTTTCATGGTACATTTCATAGGGGAGGTTTTCTCCTCCATTATCATAAAACAAGATTGATTATAAACAAAAATATTAAGAGAGTATACATGAATTTGTATATATATATATATATATATATATACAATAATGATAGAAGTAAGAAATAGTGTGCATGGTGATGTGATGAGTTGGTTTGTCTTTTGAAGGAGGGTGTACTTGAATTAATGAGTCATTGTCCAATGTGCACAGTCCAGGTGATTCGAAACTGGAATGAATCAAGTAAAACTGGGCTTATTAATGGTCCCCAATTCTTGTCTGTGGGATTGTGACCCCACCAACTTGACCTCTCAAATAATGCTAACGCTACTATTACCACTTGACAAGCTGTGTCTTCTTTTTCACTTAGAAGGAAAGATACTTGAATAGACTCATCAATGGAGACACAAATTTTGACTGAGGGCAGCTTTTAATTGCTTGTCGGCTAATTATTTAGTATGTTTTTGTATGTTTTTCTAGGGTGTTGAGAATGTATATCCAAATAAATAAATTTGAAGTTTTAATGCTATTATCAAACCAGACTTGAGAAAAAAAATAAAATAAAATAAAATAGAGCCAGCTTGATGAAGGGCAAGTGCATAATTAGAGATAGTTTGGTAGGCCTCATCCTAATTTTTTATTATATTATAGAAAGTATATATATCTAATCAAAATTTGATTTGATCGGGGAGTGGAATTAAAGATTGGGTCCGAGTCTAACACCCTAGTTGTAAGAATTTAGACGTCTAACACCCTAGTTGTAAGAATTTAGACGTTTAAAAATTTAAGCGGTGAAGTAGTGTGGTATGCTTACCTATATATATATAATTTATTTTCCTTCCGAATTTGAATCTGACATGGACAAAGCTCCTCTTACAATAAGCCTCTACCTATTCATAGACCTTTTGTTGTGAGGATTTGGTTCTCAAACAGAAAAAGGAAAAGTATGTTATCTTTGGTTTTTGGTCCAATAAAATTCATGATGAATTGCATTTTGGATGAAATGGAGCCAAACACTATTATGATTTTGTTTGGGGTTATCTTTTGACTTCTGTTAAAGATTCGAGGACAGGAAAATTTCTTCTACTATATGATTTTCTTTCTTTTCTTTTCATCTTTTGAATAATTTGGAGTATTTGACGCTTCGTTCGACTAATTTTTGAGGACCCAAAAAGGATGTCTCCTCACTCCGGAGATCGGGTAAGTCGCTGGGTATGACAATAGAAGCGTGTTCTCAAATTATCGTAAACTTCTAGTGAGAATCGCCCAGTACGATTTTCTTCTTTACCTTTTCTTTTCTCTATTACTATATGTTTTTTTTTTTTTTTTTTTTTCAGCAATTGTGATATGCTCTATAGTACACACATGCATATATTAAGTAGTGGTATTAAATTGAAAATAAACTAGAGCAATGGAGTAAAGAGGGTGCACTTTATTTCTCCCGTGTGTTTTGCCTTTACACATTATGTCATCTGACCGACCATCTCTAAATTTCAACATAGCTTCTTCTTCTTTTTTTTTTTTTTTTTTTTTTGAGGGACGCTAATCACAGTTGCTCCCGTGACTGTAGAATCTCAATCACTAGTTGAGGAGTTGACACGTGTGTTTTCTTTTCCAATAATTAATTATTATTTTTCTGCTAACTTCCTTTTGGGTCTCTCATTATATATAATTACTATACTAGCCTCCTTACTGAGAAACTCATAAACTTCCATGATTCCATCTCTTTAAAATTTTATTTTTTACAAAATTTCATATCTAAATATTTGAAGTTCCAACACTAAAATTTTCTTTTTTACAAAAGTACATATCTAAATGTTTGAAGTTCAAATCTGAATTTTTTCAGATTCCGTATTCTTTGTATTCGAAGTATTGCTCTGATTTTTCAGATTAAAAAAAAAAATTAAAAATTTTATCATAAAATAAAAAGAAAAAAGTACTATAAATTTTTATTCAGATTATACTTTTTTTTTTATTTGATTTGATTTTTTTTATTTGAAAAACAACCGAATACTTCGAAACAGATAATAAGGATCTGATAGTACTTTTTTCACTGATTTTTTTATTTTTTTAATCTGAAACATTCACGGTTCCATCTCACTTTAAAATTTTATTTATACAAAAATCCATATCTTAATGTTTGGAGTTCAAATCTGAATTTTTTCAGATTCATATTCTTTGTATTCGGAGTATTGCTCTGATTTTTCAGATTAAAAAAATAAAAAAAAATTTATCATAAAATAAAAAGAAAAAAGTACTATAAATTTTTTTTTAGATTATACTTTTTTTTTTTTTCATCTGATTTTATTTTTTTTATTTGAAAAACAACTGAATACTTAAAAACAGAGAATAGGGATTTGAAAAAATCAGATAATTTTTAGAGAGAGAACAAAATTATAGTACTTTTTTCACTGATTTTTGGAGGCTAGTATAGAAATTATATATAATGAGAGACCCAAAAGGAAGTTAGTATAAAAATAGTAATTAATTATTGAAATTTTGTAAAAAATAAAATTTTAAAGTGAGATGGAACCGTGGAGGTTTCTAAAGTTTCTTAATGAGGAAGCTAGTATAATAATTATATATAATGAGAGACCCAAAAGAAAGTTAGCAGAAAAATAATAATTAATTATAGCTAGTGACTGAGATTCCACAGTCGCGGGGGCTTTTTAGGAGGAGTGCAAATTCTCTCTGTTTTTTAAGAGGAGTACTGATTGCAGTCGCACAAGCAACTGCCTATTCACAGTGTATTTATTACTTTGAGTTTCTATTTTTATGAATTCTACTAACATTACTTTTTAGACAAAAATACCCTTTTAAATTATGACTTTCTTCTTATTTCCTCTTTTAATCGATTCATAAAGGGATGTGTGCGTATGTGTGTAATATATATATAAATATATAATAATAATAATAACTAATGTGATATGACTGGATGCTGAAAAAGGGAAACAAAAAGTTAGATAGGATAATCCATTCACAAGAAATGGATCCTAATAAATAAGAAAAAAGAAAAAAAGAAAGATAGAAAAAAATCCGAAAAAAGAACAAGATAGATTCTGAGATTTTAAAAATATATATACAAAATTAGTTTTATATACATATATATTTATTTTTTGGTGAAGGAATTATTTCCTTTTGTTTTATTTATTTTTTTTTTTAAAAAAATCCATTTATACAAGGATAGTTGTAATATATATATATATATATATATATATATATATATATATATATATAGGAAAAAACAAAAAAGGAAGAAATATATAATTGATTTTTTTTTTACCTTTTTTTTTTATTCTTTTTGGATTTTTTTCTCGCTCTTTTATGTTTTTTCTTCTTCCTTTTATTTTTTTTTTCTGAATCCATCCATCTCTTTTGAATGAATTATCCTATCACATAACTAATATACTCGATTAAAAGAAGAGAGAAGAAGAGAAGAAGAAATTTTACATAATTTAAAAGGGTATTTTTGTCTAAAAAGTACTGTTAGTAGAGTTCATAAAAATAGAAACTTTAAATAATAAATGTATTTAAAACTAACCAATCATAATTGACAACTATGAATGGATAGTCGTTTGCGCGACTGTAATTAGCACCCCTCTTTATTTAGTGTTTGCATGGCCTATTAGCAATGGGCAATAGGTTCGATGAAATAGGAAGCCAATCACAAACACTTGTGATTGACTCGGTTTAATAAGTTGTTAAAATTTTGAAATTTGCAGAAAAAAAAAAAACAATAATAATAAAAAAATTTATGAAAGAGAGAAGGAAAATGATTTTTAAGGCCCAAGAGGCCTTTATTGAACCGATTCTTTTGAGAGAGAGAGAGAGAGAGAGAGAGATATTTCAAGAGGAATATAAAGAAGAGTACAATATTTAATAAGCTTGATATACAAGTTTATATAAAATGAGACATGATTGGCCCTGCTTTTTTTCTTTTTCTTTTTCTTTATACTCATTGATATGAAAATTTCAAGCTTTCTCATCTGTTCTCCTTCCTACCTTATTTTTCTCTTTCTAATTAATCCATAAGCATCTACTGAAAGATGTGTTCCGACAATCTAATGGAGCACTTGTACCCACTAATTGTAATTAAAAGGGGAAAAAAAAAAAAAAAAAAAAAAAAAACGCCAATATCTTAACTATCAATATATATGCATACACGCCAACCTTCGGAAAAAAATATAAGTAAACACAAGCACATGGGCATGACAATAATGAAAAATATATGG